GTACCTAGGGATTGGCAGAGAGCATGCATAGTTCCTTTGTATAAAGGCAAAGGGGACAAAAGAGAGTGCAAAAATTATAGGGGATAAGTCTGTTGAGTGTACCTGGTAAAGTGTATGGTAGAGTTATAATTGAAAGAATTAAGAGTAAGACGGAGAATAGGATAGCAGATGAACAAGGAGGCTTTAGGAAAGGTGGGGGGTGTGTGGACCAGGTGTTTACAGTGAAACATATAAGTGAACAGTAATTTAGATAAGGCTAAAAGAGTCTTTGTGGCATTTATGGATTTGGAAAAGGCGTATGACAGGGTGGATAGGGGGGCAATGTGGCAGATGTTGCAAGTGTATGGTGTAGGAGGTAGGTTACTGAAAGCAGTGAAGAGTTTTTACGAGGATAGTGAGGCTCAAGTTAGAGTATGTAGGAAAGAGGGAAATTTTTTCCCAGTAAAAGTAGGCCTTAGACAAGGATGTGTGATGTCACCGTGGTTGTTTAATATATTTATAGAGGGGGTTGTAAGAGAAATAAATGCGAGGGTCTTGGCAAGAGGCGTGGAGTTAAAAGATAAAGAATCACACACAAAGTGGGAGTTGTCACAGCTGCTCTTTGCTGAGACACTGTGCTCTTGGGAGATTCTGAAGAGAAGTTGCAGAGATTGGTGGATGAATTTGGTAGGGTGTGCAAAAGAAGAAAATTAAAGGTGAATACAGGAAAGAGTAAGGTTATGAGGATAAAAAAAAGATTAGGTGATGAAAGATTGAATATCAGATTGGAGGAGAGAGTATGGAGGAGGTGAACGTATTCAGATATTTGGGAGTGGACGTGTCAGCGGATGGGTCTATGAAAGATGAGGTGAATCATAGAATTGATGAGGGAAAAAGAGTGAGTGGTGCACTTAGGAGTCTGTGGAGACAAAGAACTTTGTCCTTGGAGGCAAAGAGGGGAATGTATGAGAGTATAGTTTTACCAACGCTCTTATATGGGTGTGAAGCGTGGGTGATGAATGTTGCAGCGAGGAGAAGGCTGGAGGCAGTGAGATGTCATGTCTGAGGGCAATGTGTGGTGTGAATATAATGCAGAGAATTCGTAGTTTGGAAGTTAGGAGGAGGTGCGGATTACCAAAACTGTTGTCCAGAGGGCTGAGGAAGGGTTGTTGAGGTGGTTCGGACATGTAGAGAGAATGGAGCGAAACAGAATGACTTCAAGAGTGTATCAGTCTGTAGTGGAAGGAAGGCGGGGTAGGGGTCGGCCTAGGAAGGGTTGGAGGGAGGGGTAAAGGAGGTTTTGTGTGCGAGGGCTTGGACTTCCAGCAGGCATGCGTGAGCGTGTTTGATAGGAGTGAATGGAGACAAATGGTTTTTAATACTTGACGTGCTGTTGGAGTGTGAGCAAAGTAACATTTATGAAGGGATTCAGGGAAACCGGCAGGCCGGACTTGAGTCCTGGAGATGGGAAGTACAGTGCCTGCACTCTGAAGGAGGGGTGTTAATGTTGCAGTTTAAAAACTGTAGTGTAAAGCACCCTTCTGGCAAGACAGTGATGGAGTGAATGATGGTGAAAGTTTTTCTTTTTCGGGCCACCCTGCCTTGGTGGGAATCGGCCAGTGTGATAATAATAAATAAAAATTTATGTCACCTACTGTAAATTCATGATTCTTATATTTAACCTGACCGCAGGATGTGTAGGATGTTCAGTAGAGTATTCTACCTGACATGTGAAAATTGATTCAGCAATGAATATGAGAAACCCTACACTGAACCTTGCAAATAAGGTAGCAAGGCCTCTCATACTGAACTTGGTTTACAACAGTGGCTGAAAAATTCTAAATGAGACGTGAATCTATGACTATAAATACACACCACTCTTGCCACTGGTCTGCATCCCCCTCAGCCTATCTTTCACATTACTTTGATGGCTTTCCCCCTCCCAGCCTATTTTTCACATCACTGATTGATGGCCTGCCCCCTCCCAGCCTATTTTTCACATTACTTATTGATAGCCTGCCCCCTCCCAGCCTATCTTTCACATCACTTATTGATGGCCTGCCCCCTCCTAGCTTATCTTTCACATCACTTATTGATGGCCTGCCCCCTCCCAGCTTATCTTTCACATCACTTATTGATGGCCTGCCCCCTCCCAGCTTATCTTTTACATCACTTAATAATGGCCTGCCCATTCCAGCCCATCTTCACATAAACTTATTGATGGTCCTGCTGCCCCCTCCCAGCTTATCTTTCACATCACTTATGATGGCCTGCCCCCTCCCAGCCTTATCTTTCACATCACTTACTGATGGCCTGCCTCCTCCCAGCCTATCTTTCACATCACTTACTTGATGGCCTGCCCCTCCCAGCCTATCTTTCACATCACTTATTGATGGCCTGCTCCCTTCCAGCTTATCTTTCACATCACTTATTGATGGCCTGCCCCCTCCTAGCTTATCTTTCACATCACTTATTGATGGCCTGCCCCCTCCCAGCTTATCTTTCACATCACTTATTGATGGCCTGCCCCCTCCCAGCTTATCTTTTACATCACTTATTGATGGCCTGCCCCTTCCAGCCCATCTTTCACATCACTTATTGATGGCCTGCCCCCTCCCAGCTTATCTTTCACATCACTTATTGATGGCCTGCCCCCTCCCAGCTTATCTTTCACATCACTTACTGATGGCCTGCCTCCTCCCAGCCTATCTTTCACATCACTTATTTATGACCTGCCACCTCCCAGCCTATCTTTCACATCACTTATTGATGGCCTGCTCCCTTCCAGCTTATCTTTCACATCACTTATTGATGGCCTGCCCCCTCCTAGCTTATCTTTCACATCACTTATTGATGGCCTGCCCCTTCACAGCCTATCTTTCACATCACTTATTGATGGTTTTTCCCCTCCCAGCCCATCTTTCACATCACTTATTGATGATCTGCCCCCTCCCAGCCCATCTTTCATATCATTTATTGATGACCTGCCCCCTCCCAGCCCATCTATCTTCCACATCACTTACTGATGGCCCTCCTGCCTCCAAGTCTATATCCCATCTTCGGACATAGTAGAGGAGTGTACTGAGTCTCTCATGTTCTAGTTTGACCTCTCAGTACAGGTCAAACCAGTGCAGCCTTTAAAACATGATATGCTGGTGATCTAGCTGCTACATATAAGGTCAAGTTAATGATAGTCATTCACTTCATTCATCTTAATGCATGGATCAACCAAAGAAAGTACACTATTTTTCATATTATTATTACTACAGGTTGGCCATAACTAATCTGGCAATTAGTAATTTGGCGCTAATTTTGGATAGCATAATTTCAAACTTCCAGGGTCACCACACCAACCTGCCACTACTGTTTGGTGGCACTACTTGCTTCGTAAGTCATTCCAATGTGTTTTTCTCTATTTATTGTTATAACCTGCTCACTTTCAGCCCTAGCCATGGTTCCAGTGAATAAAAAAAATGCAAAGTAAAGCACATACACCATGCATTGTCCATAAAAGATAAGGTGGTTTTGAAGCCACTGTTGGTCACCATGAGCCCAGGCTCACTCAGATAAGCTATGACCAGTAAATTTGGGCCTATATGTCAGAGAATAGGTCTGTGTGGTAAGTGTGCACTATATAAAAAAAAAATCCTGCAGCATGCAGTGCATAATGAGAAAAAACTGCGAATGTGGTTTTGGTGTAAAACAGCGACTTTGCGGTGTAATTTCTTATGGTTTTTATGGTTGTATTCTAGTTTTTCTGGTCTCGTTTGATAGAATGTTAGATACATTACAGAAATAGATATGATTTTGATTGGTTTCTTAACAGAAAGTACCTTAAAATTGAGCTCAAAGTAGTGGAAATGTTCAATTTTTGCTGATGTTCAAAAGTAAACAAATGATGTCGCCATCTAACACATGTCCAACTGGCCGTGGTCACAAATGAGTTGACGTTATTTATAAAATTACAATAATGCAGTAGTCTGAATGACAGTAAATCTATTTTTTGTATGAATAAAAATTCAAAATGGAAAGCAAGTGTAAAATAAGAGGGGCCTGGAGATGTGACTAATGAACAGAGAAAATGTTATTTTAATGTCAGGAATGTCTGCACTTTTTATTCTGAATCCTATTTTGAAACTGGCATCTCTTGAAATTTGTGTGAAATTGGTCAAATTATCAATTTCTGATCACTTTATTGGGTAGTTGAAATAGGTAAATGGGCAGTTTCTTGTACTCAGTCAACAGAATAGAAGGAATACTAACGAAACAGCTATGAGTTTGGTAGACTGGAACAGTGGAATAGACCAAAAATAGGGCATAAAGTTGGCAAAATCACCAATGCATATTCTATCCTAAACATTGTAATTTGGCAAAATCACTAATCCGGCACCCTACAGGTCCCAATGATGCCGGATTAGTGATGGTCAACCTGTGCTGTAAAATTATGGGGAAGCACTAACTCTGTAGGGGTCATACATGTGGCTAATGGGAGGTAATAAAGTTTAAGTCAGTGAATGGGACAGTAACTCCAATTTCATGACTGAAGAATCTTTACCATCAAGACACCTGCCTTTCCCTCCTTGATGGACTATGATATGTACAACCATTAGGAGTATAACTTTGGTAGTAACCTTTTCTAGGACATCAATCAATCCTTGGCTGACTCCCATTTAAAACGTTACTACACAAAGCATTTAGGTAATAAAAGTTCAATGATCAAATGAAAGTTTTGGTTCAAATTTAGCACCAATAATACCTTATGCTGTATATCATCAATTTTCATGGGTTTATGTTGCTTAATAATGCATTAAGTACGTATTTAAATCACAATAAGAGCTCTTTAACTTATAAAATATTTATAATAACTCAAATCCAAAATTTTGTTTAACCCTTAAACTGTCCAAACGTAGATCTGCGTTTGCATGTGCAGCACTCCAACCTTGATTTTCTCCATGAGAAACAATGTAAAAAAATACGTAGATCTACGTTTGGACAGTTTAAGGGTTAAAGCAAATACTCACCTATTAAATTAGAATCTGGGTCTGCAGGAAGAATCTGTGCCAATCTTGTCAAAATCTTATAGATTTGTGCCCAAACATCAACAGATTGTGTCTTGTGGAACATTTGAGGAAGAACTAATTTATTCTGACGGTGCCATAATCTTGCCACAAAAATCAGCTCTCGCAGACTTTGAACTATTTTTGGGTCTCGTGCTAACTCAAACTGCAATTAAAAAAAAATAATATTTTTTTCTGAAAAAACCCTAAGGCTTAAAAATTCTTTATTTTCAATTTTGCTTAGCTACTCAATGTTATTTTTCTGAATTAAGATTCCATGAACCTCATTTGGGATAGTGTCCTGCTGGTTTAACCTCTATATGGAATTTTAATCCGTAAACGGTCCAAACGTATATATACGTTCACTACCCCAGTGCCCTGAATATTTTGAAGAATAAATTTTTTTTTTAATGAAAATAAAGAGCACATTTTTCTAAGTGTTACTGAGATATGAGGCTGCAAAGTTGCACTTAATGTTCACCTGAGTCCTGTCGCTTGCAGAAGTGTTGCCGATATACCATTTTCTCTCATTTTTATATTATTTTATGTAATTTTTACATTCTGATAATTATAATTTATTGTAGTTTTTGTCATTTCATAACCAATCTTTGTTCTGACACTAATATTAGGTAATGAAATTGTACTCAAATTGTCACAAACGCATTGACAGGTGGGCATTTACACCTGCCTTGGTCATTTACACAAAGTATTTATAGGTCCCAGCAATGTTTTGGATACACAGGAGTATAGAAGAAGAAGAAGGAAGGAGGAGGAGGAAGAAGGAAGAAATTCCCTTGAAGCAATGCGTAAGACAAGTGGGGCAGTAATAAGATCAGATATGAGATGGCATTCGATGGGCTCCAGTGAGGGTGCAGAGATAAGATGAAATAGTGCAGAGATAAGAGGAGATAAGCTATGACATTTGATGGGAGCCAGCAAGGGTGCAGTGATAGGGGATGACATTTGATGAGCTTGTATCTCTGATTATCTGACTCTCTGTCTTATTTCTCTGCCTGCTTGTCTCTTTCCATCTCTCTGCTTGTCTCTCTGCCTGTCTCAGAGAGAGCCACTGTGAACCAACAGGTATTCTTATGCATTATATCTACAAGCACAGTATAGCACTTCAGATTTTTTAGTTCTTTTTTTTTTTTATTATCACACTGGCCGATTCCCACCAGGGCAGGGTGGCCCGAAAAAGAAAAACTTTCACCATCATTCACTCCATCACTGTCTTGCCAGAAGGGTGCTTTACACTACAGTTTTTAAACTGCAACATTAACACCCCTCCTTCAGAGTGCAGGCACTGTACTTCCCATCTCCAGGACTCAAGTCCGGCCTGCCGATTTCCCTGAACCCCTTCATAAATGTTACTTTGCTCACACTCCAACAGCACGTCAAGTATTAAAAACTATTTGTCTCCATTCACTCCTATCAAACACGCTCACGCATGCCTGCTGGAAGTCCAAGCCCCTCGCACACAAAACCTCCTTTACCCCCTCCTCCAACCTTTCCTAGGCCGACCCCTACCCCGCCTTCCTTCTCCCCTACAGACTGATACACTCTTGAAGTCACTCTGTTTTGCTCCATTCTCTCTACATGTCCAAACCACCTCAACAACCCTTCCTCAGCCCTCTGGACAACAGATTTGGTAATCCTGCACCTCCTCCTAACTTCCAAACTACGAATTCTCTGCATTATATTCACATCACAAATTGCCCTCAGACATGACATCTCCACTGCCTCCAGCCTTCTCCTTGCTGTAACATTCATCACCCATGCTTCACACCATATAAGAGCGTTGGTTAAAACTATACTTCATACATTCCCCTCTTTGCCTCCAAGGACAAAGTTCTTTGTCTCCACAGACTCCTAAGTGCACCACTCACCCTTTTCCCCTCATCAATTCTATGATTCACCTCATCTTTCATAGACCCATCCGCTGACACGTCCACTCCCAAATATCTGAATACATTCACCTCCTCCAAACCCCCTTTCCCCCCCCTTCCAATTTTTCCCAACCCACCAAAAACCCCCTTTTTTTCCCTCAATTTTTACCTTTTGATTCACTTTTTTTTTTTCCTTTTCCACATAAAAACCCAAATTTAAAACCCCCCCCCCTCGGGCAACTTTTTTGAATCCCCCCAAAAAAACAGTTCTCCAAAAACAACTTGTGACAAAATCCCACTTTTAGTTACCTTTGTTTTTTAACTTCCATCCCCTTCCCAAAAACCCATTTTTAAACTTTTAAAAACCCCAACTATCACCCCCTTTTCCTAAGGGAAAAAAACTTTTTACGGGAAATAATTTTCCCTTTTCAAATTTTACCTAATTTTTTAGCCCTTCCGCTACCCCTATAAAATTTTAATCTTAAACCTCCTTTATCCTCCCCCCTACAACCTTTTCCACCCAAAAAATTTTTTGCCCTTTTTCCCCCCTTTTTTTCCCCCCCCCTTAAAATACCCCTTTTCCCAAAATTTTTTTTAAACCCCCAAAAAGCCCCTTTTTAAAGGCCTTACAACCCCCCCTTTTTATTTAATTTCATTTTTTAAAACTCCTGGTCCCAAACCCCCTCCGTTTCCTTTTTAAACCCCCTTTTCATTTTGCAAACCTATTTTTTTTTAAATTTTTTTCCCTTTTTCCCATAATAACATCGATCAAAAAACTTTCCGGTTTATAACCCCCTTACCCCCATTTTTTTTGAAACCCCCTTTTTTTGCCCCCCTTTCCCCTTTTAAAAAGGGCCTTTAAAATCCTTGGGCCAAACCAAAGACCTTTTAGTTTAAAATTAAAATTAAAACCTTTTTAACTTAAAAATATTTTAATTAAAAAATTCCTAAAAAATTTTAAAATTTTTATTTTTATTTTTTCCCTTTTTTTTTAAAAATAAATCAAATACTTTAATAATAAAAATTATTTAAAAATTTTTAAAACAAAAATTTTTAAAAATTTTCCTTTAAAAAAATTGATTCAAAAATCCCGGTCCTTTTTTTCCATAATTTTTTTAAATTTAATTGCCCAAAACCCACCCAAAAACTAAAACCCCCCCCCGTTTTTAAAACTTTTTCTATCTTTATCCCTTAAATTTCCCGGGTGCCTTCCCCCCTTTTTTTTTTTAACCTACTGCCTCAAAAATTTCCCCCCACACTCACAACTGACCCCTTCCTCACTCCTAAAAGGGTTTTATTCCCCCTTTTGCCCTAACACGAAATCCACAGCTTCCCAAACTTCATCAACATTTAAAAATTTTCCTCAAAATTTTTCCCCCAAAACCCCCAATACCTCTAACTCTCCTTTTTAAAAAATTTCCCCTCCCTTTTTTTAACTGACAAAATCAATTTGTTCTTGGTTTTCCTTAAAACTTTTTTAAATCTCACTCCAAAACTTTTTCTTATTTTAAAAACAAAATTTGTTGGTAACTTCTAACCCACTCCCCATCTGCCCCTTTTTTTTCACTGCTTCACCACTCCCCCTTAACCTCCTCTTTTTTTTCTATTTACTCTTCCCCCCCTTGCAAAAAACTTTATTTTTGGTAAAAATTCTCTTATGCAATTTTTTCCTCCCTTACACTAAATTTTTAACATCTCATTCCCCCCAACGTTTCCTTTTCCCTTCCCGCACCCCTTTCCTGAAACCCAAAAAACTTTGCTGAACCTCTAACCCCACTTTTTTTAAACCTACCCCATCCCCTTTTTGCCCCCCTTGCCTTGCTCTCTTTTAGCCCATCTATCCCCCAAAATAGCTTTTTAATTTTTACCCTAACTGCCTTGTTTTTTAAAGTTTAAAAACCCTTCACCTCTCTCTTCCCTGTTTCTTCTATTCCCCTTGATCCCACTACCTTTTACTCTCAGTGTAGCAAAAATAGGAAGTGATCTGATTACCCTGGGGCCCCTCATAAAAATGTAAATCCTGAGTCTACTAAACAGTTTTTATTTTCCAAATACAAACCCAAAACAAACTATTTGTCATTTCGCCCTACTTTCAAATCTTTTATATTTTTTTACCTTTTTTTTCTTAAAAAAATTTTTTCCCATAACAAAACCCCAAAATTTTCTTTTAACAAAGTTCAATCAAAGGGTCCCATTATCATTTACCCCGGGCCCCCCAAAACTTCCCTTTACCACCCCCTCTCTAAAAGTTTCTTTTATTTTAGCTTTCAGGTCCCCTCCCAAATTCCTCGCTTCCCCCTTGGGTTCAAAGGCTCCAAAACCATTCATTTTAACATCCCCCCAAAACCCCTCTCCCCTCCCTCTATTTTCCCCCTTCTCTTCCCCAAGGTGCATACACGCTTATTATGACCCACTTTTTCGCACCCAACCCTTTTAACTTTAATCCAATAATTCTTGAATTTACAAAAAATTCATATTCCTTTTCTCTTCCATAACTGTTTCCTTAAATTTTAAAGGGTCCCCCCTTCCCTTTTGGCTCAAACCTTCTCAATACCCCAAATTTTAAATCCCATTTATTTTCCCACGAAACCCCCCTACCCTTTTTCAGCTTTGTTTCGCTTGGGGCCCGGACATTCAATTTCTTTCATTCTTAACTTCAAAATCACTGTTTCTTGTCATCCGCACAAAACACCCAAGCAAAATTAAAGGCATCCCGTTTTAAAAAGCTTTTCTTTTTCCTCTTTTTTAAAGAAAATGTCTACGGGGAGAAGGGGTTACTACCATTGCTCCCGGTTTTAGTCCCCCTCATACAAACACGCATGGTTTAATGGGGGAAAGTTTTCTTTTCCATTTCCCCCACTAATTTTTTATTTATTTATTATTTGAAATGTACATAAAATTTTAAAGGAATAAAAATTTTTTAAAAAGTCAGCTTCCCAAAGCCCCTTGTATGCAGAGAAATTAGGGGTGGGTTTTAAAAATTAAACTTAAAGATTAACTAACAATGATATTTTAAGTGGTAAAAAAAATTATTGTAAAGCAATAAAAAAATTTTTAAAAAAACAAATGAGTTTTTAAAAGGGACAGGCCCCTTATGGTATTTACTGTTTGCTGTGTAATAAAGTAAAAAGGGGAGTTTTCCTGTTAGGTAATGAATTTAAAAATAGTAACAAAGTTTGTTTGGGTCACAGGTTGGCATTTATGAGATAAAATAATGAGTACACTTTTAGATTAAAATTTTTTAAGAAATACAATAATTCAGAAATTATTTAGTTGGGGG